GTTTGGGGTTCTGTTTATTGCATTTATGATTCAATGCAACAAAATAACCAAATTTAAAAGGTAAATGACCACCACGTTGTTCAAGCTAAGAGCCATTGTCAGCACTGGGGGTTAAGCACCCCTAAAGGTCAGATTCTAGAATTGCCCCTGATAGAGAGTATAAATTTGAGCAAAATCAGCTATGAAAAGTCAAGGTTTGGTAAAGATCACTGAGACACAAAAATGAACAAGCAGTATGCTGCTGTCCCCCGCCATCGCTGAAGAATTTGAATAGTGAATGTTTGTAGTCTTCGAGATAAGTGCTTTTGTGGACTAGAATTGAGAAGAGAATGAAGTACACCTTTATGTTTTTGTTGCAACATATTCAAGTACAGAGGAGTTCCACTGTGTAGAAGTACAGAGGTAGGATTTTTTTTCTTTTGTTCTATGCTGTGCAGAGTAACAAATCTAAGGTTCTAACTTCATGTCCACTGGAAGACATGCTGTCCTTTTCTGCAGCAGTCGATGGACATAAATCTGGTGTCCAGCACGATTATCGTATGCTGCAGCCATGTTTTCTTCTTGTCTCAAAGTTGTCAGAGACAGAACAACCTTTAATCATCCTCTGACGGAGCATTTTGACTCAGATTGAAATAGCAGCTGTGGGCCTGTTTGTGACACGAGAAAACGCTCAGTGTCAATTATGCGTTTCTCTGAGCCCACGAGACGAACCACCGCTGGGGGTGGATGCGTTTGCCCACAGCCCATGGCCCAAAATGCTTCTGTACGCGTTTTTCTCCACCTCCTCTGATTTTACGGTTCTTGAACCGAGCTCAGGAGGAGGGATTGACAGCTCTCCAGGTGGTCCCCGAATGCGTGAGCGCACCATGGTTCCCAGTCCTGCAACGCCTGCTGTCGGGGTGCCCGTGGAAACTGCCGTGGAGGGAGGACGCTCTCCTCCAGGCAGGAGGAGCGACCAGGAGTTACCCAGAAATAGGCCAGCACCTGTGGGTCTGGCCGCTGAACGGATCTGCTTAGAGAGGATGGGTCTCCCACAGGATGTAGTGCACACAATTCAGGTTTCACGTGCTGCATCTACCACAGCGATGTACACATCAAGCGGACAGCTTTTCAGCGCTGGTGTACAGAGAAGGGTGTAGAGGCCTCCTCATGCCCATTACGTGGCATGCTGTCCTTTCTGCAGCAACTGATGGACAGAAAATTGGCGTCCAACACGATTAAAGCGTACGCTGCAGCCATCTCTTCCTGCCTCGAAGGTTTCGGAGACAGAACAGGTTTTAATCATCCGCTGATGAAGCATTTTCTAAAAGGTGTACAGAGACGCAGGCCTGTTTCACACCCACTTGTTCCACTGTGGGATTTAATACTGGTCCTGCAGGTCCTGATCAAAGCTCCATTTGAGTCTTTGGATCAGGTTCCACTTAAACTCTTGTCTCCTTAAACAGCCCTGCTGCTGGCTAAGAGGGTGAGTGTTTTATCTGCCCTCTCTGTCGCTCTGTCATGTCTCAGAATTCAGGCTGATGGCAGCTCAGCTGATTTTAGACCAAACCCAGCTTTTATGCCTAAAACATCACAAGCTCTTTTAAATCAAGAGCAATATCGTTGGAGGGGTCTGTTTTCATGGAACTCTGTTTCACTCACATCTGTCTGCATGCATTACAGTGTGAGATGTCATCAGTCACAAGTTGTGATTGTTATTTTGGTTCTATTGTCACTAATCAGTTCACGACTATTGTTACCAATCAGTCCATTTGATTAATAATCAGCTCTCCTGTTATTATTAATCTGTTCATACGGTTCAGCCGTAAACCGGTTGGTTCATGGCTCTTTTCAGCTTTCTTCCCTCCCCGTTGAAGTTTTCCGGGGCGTTCATGCATTCAGAATGCATAGTTACACAACATGCGTCTGTGCATGGCACACATAATTACGCAACGCGTAATTACGCACATGGGGAGCTGAGTGACAAGACGTTTTTTTTGGGCAAGCTTCTGCTTCATACGGTGTTCGAATGGACCCAGTGAGGCGAGGACACATCCGCTTCGCCCTTAACCCACTAAGCGACAGCTCTTAAAGGGCGAAGCCTATATGAAATAGAACGTTGGTTACGTACTGTAACCCCAGATTCTATGAGTATAGGTGTAGCCCTTTAAGCATCGGGCCTCACTGGCTCCTAAATGGCTGAAGAAAAAGCTATTTTTGGGAGCCGATTTCCCGCTCTTAACGTAATTTATACGGACCGGGTGGGGCCCACACAGCAGGTGGGCGTGGACTAAATTTTTCAGTGTAATGCTCCGCATAACGGGATAAACCACTAATGCCCCTTTTCCATTAGTACCGGTACGGGCCGACTCGACCCTACTTGGCCCGGTTCTGAGGCTTTTCCATTAGTACTGGTACTTAGCACCTGTTACTATTTTCAGTACCCTTGGCTCTGTGGTTCTAACCGGTACGAAGAAGTACAAAAACGTGACATCAGAACACTGTCAGTCACTGATTGGTCGGGGGCGGAGTCGGGGGCAGAGTCACTGGATCCTTAAGAAACGTTTCAAAACAATAATCCGCTATTTGCAAATTCTCGGACTGGAGCAACGGCTAGACCTATTTTAAAGATTTTTAAAACAATACTGACAACAGCTTGGTCTAATGTTGATGTGCTGGCATTTTTTGTGCTTGGTGGCCGACAACATAATTCAGAGCAAGCTGGATGGAGCTCTGCTGGTGTACCCCGATCCTCCCTCCGGAGCCTCCGAGCGCCAGGCCGGGCAGGGCGTCATCTCCCCGGCTCCAAGTTCAGCTGGTCACCGCGGAAGATCCTTCTATGTGCCGACTCGGAGGCTCAGGTTCCGGATACCAGCCTTGTGTGCTCAGAGCTCCGCTGGTCACTGCGAAGCTGGAGATGGGGACTCGCAGATGGACGTTGCCAGACCCCGGCTGCGCGTAATCATGAAGGCTGAATCCCGATCCCACCCGGCAGTCAGGCGGACTGGACAGTCTGGGACGGACGCTGGAAGCGATTTTTAAATAAAATAATATTTTGTTTTTATACAAAAAATGTTTTAAAAAATTGCTGAAGCGATTTAAAAATGATTATAATTTTTTTACACGTAAAATGTTTTTTAAAATCGCTTCCACCGTTCGTCGCAGACCCGTCTCTGTCCGCCTGTCTGCGCGGGTCGGACCTTCATGATTACGCGCGGCTGGGGTCTTGGAACAGCCTCTGCGAGTCACCAGCTGAGCTGGAGCTGGGAGGATGAGCCTCCCACCCTCCGGAGGAGAGGATCAGTGAGACCAGCAGAGCGTTGAAGATTTAAAAGAAAAAAAAACGGTGCCAGCTTCATCGTGAAATCCTGTTTTCACTTTAATGACTGTTAACTCAGCTGAAAATCATAAAAAGACACAAAACTATTGGATCTCAGGAATATTTCCCTCAAACATGTTTAAAGAAGAGACGACCTTCAGTTCAA